ACTGCCAGACTTCACAACTTCATGCAGAGGTGGATTTCACACTAACCTCTTTCTGAAAATCTTTCATAAGTATTCCAGAATATGACAAAAATTCCTTTGATCTGAATTTCCTTGCACTGATTGCTTTACCTTCCAAACTGCATTATTTTTGTTTTGTTTTGGACTGAATATACAATTAAGACAGCTAAATTTTACGCCATGTAGTKGTAATTCATCTCAACTTGGCAATCAATAAGTTTGTTGCTGAGAGAAAAGGCAATTCCTATGAGCTTTAATTAAAAATGAAAAGACAGAAATTTCCTCTCATTGACGAAAAATAAGGTTGATATCCCAAGATACTGAAAGCATTCAGATTATGATTAGTAGAAACCTGACTGGAATCTCAAGTAACATCTACGTGATAATGAAGAGCATTTAGTTGGATAACTAAGCGAGCTCCTGGCTGTCTCTTCGTACTACAGACCTCTCTAAACACAATTAACATTTTGTTACCTGCATAGCTATAGGAGCACACAGCAGTGGACRTTACAGTGGTAACAGCAATTTGCCATGTCAAAGTGCCACAAACAGGACACACAGTTTTGCATATTCACTCCTTACTTCTGCCCTCCCACAGATAAGACTTCCAGGCCTCCAATGACTTCCTCTCCTGTGCCGGCTGGATACTCACCGGACTCCTCCAGTTTCGGAGTGTTCAAACCCAGCCAGAGCAAATCACAACTGAGCATCCAGGAAGCTCTGGCAGGGTATATCACTAAAGTAATTCAATTTGCTAAAGGATTGCTGAGTTCACTAGCAGGAAGGCGCAGAATGGATGGACAGACCCAGAGATACAGTTTTGAGGTAAATATGGCCCAGTTGAGTGCACTGAGTTCCCCTTTACATCTTACAAAAAAAGAAAGCTGTTTTCAGCCTCAGGTCTTGTCTACAAATGAGATATGACTTTGATACTGGGGAAAAACACTTTGTTTTGAAATGAAATACTTTGCTTTTCACAGTATTTGTTTACTGAAACAGAACATCCTGGTTTAAAGGTTCCTTCAGGAACTGTGCAATACCAGTTTTTGTTATATTTTAAACAAACAGAAATGTTGATACTATAAGGAATATCTTGGCATATCTGCTGACTTTTTAAGCCCTAGAGCTGCTTTTGGAGAGTTGGACTGCTGCGTTCACACCTTCCTCTCAAGGAAAAAAGGCCAGCTTTTTTCCAGTAGCAAAAAGAGTCATGCCACAAGTCTGGATGCTCCACAAGTCACTATTCCTAATTCATCTGGTAGAATTGTACAGTTTCTTAATTGTCTAGATCCAGATTCTCCAGAGGTCATCTGTCGGATATGGCAAGGAAAAGCAAGTAAAAGATCTTTTAGCCTTTAAAATTAGCCACATTGCCTCTGAAAATTCTTGTCTTTTCTTGTCTAAAAATTCTTGTCTTTATTTTTTAATCATTTTCTCTATGAAAACTAATTGTGATCTCTTTTGTTTTGGGAGTTTATAAGAACCTTATTTAAAGGTAGCTTTGCAGCACTAAATGCATACTTCAGCCTGAAAAGCACTCCCCTCTAATAACAGTGGAGAACACAAACATATTTGCTTTTCATCAGTACTTTACACTCGCTCCTTCAGATTCTTATATTAACTTTTCTTTCACATTTTCACGAGAAGTGAAAATTCACTCTCTCCTTTTTTATGAGAATATATTTTTGATGATTTCACTATAATTGCATCAAATGTGTAGATTTTGATTTAGAGCATGGGAAATACACTTTGAATCTTTACCCAACAGATGGTTCTACAAATTCCCTCAAGCAAAATTCTCATTGATGCCAATAATGTTACTGTTATTTCATTCTAGACTCTATTGTCTGTTTATTTACATGCTACTTCATACAGAGCTACATTGCAATATCTCTGTATTGCAACTGTTTTTTACTTTACTTTTTTGTATCAAATGCCATTTCTAATCAGCCTTTATGTAACATTAATAGTTTTATTATTCCACATCAGCTCAAAATATTTAATAACACAACTGCACTATTAACATGTTCAATGATTTTTACAGTCATATTTACAAATAAAGAAATAAATGTTATGTTTCTGAGTTGCAGTTAATATCAGGTGGTATATTCATCAATCATACACGCTGCAGTCCAGGAGAATTGCAAGCAACCTACATATGATCTTCTGAAAAGTAGCAACGGCAGGGGTTAAAACCCTTTGAGTAGCTATACAAGAATTTTTGATAAACTTAACAATTTCTAAATAGGTCATAGTTTTTAGTAACATAGGAGTATTAATATATGCATCTAAGAAGTTGTCCTAATTCAGGGAGAACGTACAGGGTTAAAGGGCACCTGTAAGACCAGCTTAACTCTTCCAGCTTATCCAGTGGAAATAAAGAAACCCAAAAAAAGCACTGTTTCACCAGTGTAACTGTATCTATGTTAGAGCTGCCTGTAAACACAGCTGTGCTGTTCTGGAATCCTACTTCTTCTCATCCATGGAAAGCTTGAAAAATAAGTCTAATCTAATGTTTTAAGCGGCCTCATATTGTATTTGAAAGGATGCTAGCCTGTCTTGAAATTCTGCATGGAGAAAAAGATACCACAAATATACCCACTTAAATTTCAATAGATTTTGAGATTCCTTTGTTCTGCACTTGTTAAAGGGAGGGACTAGAAATCAATTCCCTTCAAGACAGGAAATGTGAGACAAAGCCAAAAATATGACAAATCATTTGATTGAAATCAATAAAAAGACATTAATTTTTCAGTTCAAATTTATCTTTAAAAAAAAACACAGATAAATAATAGATGTAAAGCAAATTCATAAAGCAACTCACTTCAATACTGGCATTATACCATGATGAATCCCAACTCTGCCCTTYCAGTTAAAGAACTATTGGTGCTTGCTTATATTATTAATCCAGACGATATGCTTCTCGTGTTCAGTGACCCAGTTCCAAGAAGTATCACATTATAGAAGCCTATTTTCCACTTAATAAACACACATAATTCCTGTGAACATTAGTACTGATTATGCATGCTTACATACTCTAGGGCATATTCATCCAAATCCAGTGAATTCAAAAATGCTAAAGTAAAATAATATTTGGTCTTTTAGACTGCAATAAACGCTAAAGAACATGAGGAAGAATATAGAATGTTTTACTGGTATATTTTATCCTAATGTGATTTTTTAAAATGACTTTTCTTCAACACTCTACCCACAATGCTAAGATAAAGGAATTGAAGACTTAGGATAGAAAGAAGGGAAAAGCAAAAAAGAAATCATGGTTGTAGCTCAACAGGTAGGACACGCTCTTTGAAGACGGAAGCTGCAGGTTCCAGACTAATCACTATTTTCCATAGATAGAGAGGGTAATTGGGATACTGCCCGCAGCCCAAAAGGGCCTGTTCTCTTCATAGGTAGGGCTCTCCAGCACAAGGCAAGCCATGCAGAGTCAGACTCTTTACACTGACATGGTAATTGATTCCCAGTCTCGTACAGCTCGAGAAGTGTTTAAACCACTGTAGTAAAAATCAGACATTTCCCTCATCCTCATTCCTTCTTTACTTATGAGAGACAGAAAAAGACTCTGGTCACTTGATTTTGCTTTTACTTCTAATTTCCTGGATAGCTCTCTGCAGGACAGATTTCCAAGATGCAATTCTCATGTGAACAGAGATGCTTACACCCTCAGAGAAAGGCAGAATTTAATAAAAATTGCTCCTGTCTTGTGGGTTTGCATTGGCAGATATGTGTACAAAATGTTGGCTTGATTTTTAGCTTTCTCAGAAGGGTCTTTACAGACTGTTGGGGCAGCTAGTTCAGTATTGCAGCATTTGTGGATCTGGATTTACAATATACAAATAATTTTCCAGTAAAGACTTCAAAAACTGTTCAAATATTCACCTCTTTCAGGTCTGTGGAATCAAACACAAACCTTCACAGTWGACCACAGATTCTGGATCCCACCCTAAAATCTATACACCAAAATAAAGGAGCAATATTTTTAACTGAATTCATTAGATTACATACAATGCTATATATATACACTACAGTATAAAGCAGATTTTCTTCTATTAGCTGTCTACTTAAAAGAAGAATTCTTGATTAAATATTTCACAGATGTTTTCACTAGAAGTGCTGCAAACTGTAGTCCACTTGTAAAACTGTGGTATATTTTAAGCATCRCATAGGTGTGTTTAAAATGTGAACTTCAATAGCAAAGGTTTCCAAGCCAAGCTACAGAAATTCCCTCTTCTACATCAGTTCAATTGTAGCAAATAAGTAAAGCAGAAAAAGTTAGTGCTGAGGTTCCAACATCCAGATCAGTCAGATATGTTCTGGATATTTTACTTCAGAACTGCTCTAGCCTGGTCCCATAGACTAAATGTCTACTAGCAGGCATTTTATACAATAATTCACAAGATGTGCCCCCAGAACACATCTTTTAGTTAAATTTCCTCAAAAAAATGCAGTTTGYGCGTACCAGGATCATGCCACAACGATGACAGAAGAGCAGTGGAGGTAATCAGGAAATTCACCTCGAAATAACACTCCTGACCTAGCACAAAACGTTAATTTAGATGAATTAATACAGCCAGGCATTTGAGTCTTGCCTACTAAACTATTGCTCCCCTTGTCAATGAAATACCTACTAAAATAAAAATAACTGACAATGATGAAATCATAATTCATTCAATAAGTATTCTAGCCGTGGGGCTTTCAGGGCTCTACAMTATCTGAATGAAGTAAATTCTGCAGACCTGAAAGCTCAGAAAAATGGTAGGCCATTTTTATTAAAAACAAAAAATACACAAGCTTTTGCTCTTAAAACTGATGACATTTTCTACTGGGCATGAGTAAAAGAAAATCATTCCTTAGTCAAACCACCTACCATCTTTCACCACACAACTCTCATGAGCAAAGACATAATATCATCTAAAAAATGTGACTCAAAACTGAAAATAAGCCCTATATATATATTTCTTTTTTCAAAATATATTTATTTCTGGGAGTCTTCTTGGGCAAAATCCAATTCAGATACCAGATAAAATGTCATAGATCTGACAACTATAAGATCATACAGAGAAATTATGCTTTAAATCTAACATTAAGGATTTGGAACTCCTCCTGGTGGTTTCTCTTGCAAAGATCCCATTTGTCTCCTGTGATTTTGCCTGCAGATGATGAAAGCAGAATGTCCTATATAGGAGAAGTGCCATTATTTTACAAGTATTTCTTTCCATGTCATAGAAAGTAAAGCTCTGGACACAACTCACTAATGTTAAAGGTATTTCACTTCTGAAAAATTACCATTTCACTCCATACAGAAATGCTATATATACACAAATGCAATAGACTAGACTAAATAAATGACACCAACATTATAAAGAGCAGATCTTTAAGAAATGCACATTTCTAAATTCTTGGCTTCTATAGTTAAATTTTTAAAAAAAGAATCATAAAACTAAAAGGCGGATATTTCACTTCAGTAAGAGTATACAGCTGTCTCCATATTTCAAAACTAAAATATTACTATGCTCTTTGTCTTATATTTTTGCACCACCCTTTTACAAGTATTATATTGAATCTCTGCTATTTTCTCCATGGATAAAGTATCTCGTGAACTATCTGCGAATACTTCAAACATCCTTTTGAAGGACAGTATCTTTCCTAACAACACTTAAAAATACCTAAAATATTTTAAGTCATTTACTGTAATTTGCCAAAAAGAACTGATTTCTAAACAGTTAAACACTTCATGTACTTTGCTATAAATGCGTATTTTTAAAAGTCCATTTACTTTCCTCAGAAACATGCAAGATAAATGATTAGATGTCTAATGTTGGTGAGCACRCACCACGTATTTAAAATGGAAGCTATAAATTATCAGTCAATAAAAAGCACAGTACTTGAAGGCAGAAAAAAATCTTTCCTCATAAACAACTGCATTGTTGTTTTAAAGCAGTTAAGTCAGTCTTCTTTAAAAATGGGGTTGTGAGGCAACATCTTGAGTGATAAATACTAAAACATGAAGATATAAGTTTATATATGTAAGCTGCACTTGATAGTTTTTGTTAGACAATCCATCAGAAGAAAAATGAGACTGGGTAATAATTTATAGAGCAATCTGGTTCAAGACTGAAGAAATCCAGGAAAGGACTGTATTATTCATGTAAGGGAAGAGACAGATAGTTCCACTTGTCTACAGAAATTGTCAGTTTGCTYAATATTAGATACTCACATTTTAAAGGCTTTTTATTTTTATTCAGCCTCACATTGTACTTATGAACTGTTCTGATCCTGTTATTCATCAGTGACATCCATTATTTTTCCTAATTAAAATTACTTTGAAGTCTCTGACCTTTACGCAGACACTCCATTCTGAATTAAAATATAATTATCTTTTTAACATGAATATACTCTCATGCTTCCTTCATGCTCTTCTTTTTCACAGAATAAAAACATACTAAATGCAAGAAAAAAATTATTGCTCCTGATAACAAAAAATAAAAAGAAAATAAATCAAGCGGCCTGATTTTCCTTTGGCATATAACAARGACAAGGAAACAGTCAAGAAAAAGGAAAGACAGAGAGAGAATCTTAAGATTTATAGAGGAATTCCCTCACACAGAACACAMAATTTGTCTGCAGAACATACTGCTGTGAAAACTCACCAATCTAAAAGCTTCACTAAAATCAAAACAACAGACTTTTATATGAATAAGTCCAATGATCACACAGCTTATAATCCTGTGGTACTGTACAGGATACAACATAGTCTATTAAACATGTGGAACATCTTTTTCAAGGTGAAAGACACCCATACATTACAGAGTGAAGAAAGTAAATTTCCTGTAAATAATTTACAACTTTCTTCCTGAACACTTGGTTCTGATCCCTATACGAATTGTTGGTCTTCCTAGTGTGGAACTTTCATTTATATCCTTGCATTCATCAGCGYTTCCCCTACTTAACATATTTAATCTGAACGAATGACAGCTCTTAACTAAACTTTGCCTTTATATTACTTTATTACTTTTTTTCCTGTGGCCAAAAAATAAGAATAAATAACTTACCTTTACATACAGCTGCTGAAATTCCTCAAGGTTCAGTCTACCGCTTGGACAGTCCTTTAGAAATCCCTTGTACCACTGTTTTAGCTCATGTTCGTTGAACTCCGTGCTCTTCACCAGATCCTCCATCACCTCAGGGGCCAGTTTGCTATTCTGTTTCCCCATTTTGCCTGAAGTAAAAATGAATTAATACAATTAGTCAAGTTGCTGTGATATTTTAAATTTGATTAGCAGAGAAGTTGGAATGCATCACTTGTTTTGTACACATTGATGCTTCTGGTCAAACCCAACTTGATGGGCTCCCTCATGACTAGAGTTGAATATCTGAGGCTGAAATGGGGAACAATGAAACCTTTTCCTTCCATTTTATAAGTTTTAAGCCCTGGAGACAGACCATTTACTTGTCTTAAAACTAATGATAAAAATTCATCTTTTTTTGTCTTAATAATATTCTCTTCTAAATGAAAGATTTATTTTGCTTTGGGTTCAGAGTAGATTATTCTCCTCCCTTTGTGAAGCACTACCACATTTCTCTTATTTCAGAAGTATCATATAGAGAGACAGCTTCTCTTATCAGTTTCTGTAAAGTAATTTCTAGGTTTACACTAATCTAAGACTGAAAAATACAGCTTCATTTTTACTTTCAATTTATCAAAGACTTTTAACAGATTCAGGGATATCTGCAGAATTTCTCTTTGCCTTGCATGTCTCTCCAAACACGACACTCATATTCACTGCTACTCTTCGTAGACAGAAGGTTGTGGACAAGACAGGCCCATAATTTGAAACATCACRGTAAGAAAGCAAAGCTGGAGTTGTCTTTAATCTGAAAAAATGCTATCAGACTTAAAATCTGACCTGTATTTAAGTATATTTATTGTAGATTTAATACACAGYAGATGATTTATACCCCATCACTGTTAATATTGGGCATATTCACTGCATTTGTTGTATGTATGTATCTTATATATCTATTTATAAATATTTAACATTTATAAATATAGAATATATAGAAGCACAAAATACAGATATATTTATATACATGAAATTCAATACTTTCATGCTGGTCTTTCACCCAAGATATGTCTCCAGTCTGCCCTTCCAAGCTTCACAGCATCCTCATCCACCCTCAGCCCAACCACAGTGATCAGAGCTCTTGGCAGTCCCAGCACCCAAATCAACCCCACAAGCACTTTGCACACTAAGAAGAAGAAGAAAAAGAAGATCTATCTTGTCAAAGGATTTAACTGGTACAAAATGAACTCTGGAAATTCAGTCATCTGCAAGTACAGAAAAATACAACCTGCTGTGCTAGGACATTATTAGCCAGAAACATCCCGAAGCCCCAGGGACCAAGGCTACCAGAGGACAATTCTGTGCACCAACAGTGAGTCATCACTTCTCGGGATGCTTCCCACACCTAGCAAGTAAATCCCCCTTACACACACTCTGCACTTCCTTCCTTTACAAGCTTCCACCATGCTACTCTGCAAATAATGTTTTGCTCTGTGGCCTCTCCAAATTCAAAGAATGCCCTACAGGAACTCATACAACAAATCACTATTTGCCAGTAGTAAACTACCACTTTGCTTTGCTAAACTCCCATCCACATATTTGGGTAAACTTCACTCAAATATTGGTGAGCATGCTGATGTTAAAAATCATCTGTTTTGACTGAATGATAGACTTGCCGTTTATAAGAATATAGAACAATTGCTCTAACTTTATCTTTGAACTCCTTTTCTTCTCAAGATCGGCTTTCAGAATGAATATTAATTATGTATGATATTGACTTAATTTGGCAGTCTGAAATTAAATGCTACAGAGACCTACGCACACAAATATAGATCTTTCTCTAGTTCCAACTTGGATGACCTTTCGGTGAAATAACAGGATGCTCATTTTAATCTTTAAGGGGTCCATTTATTCCCAGCCTTTTCTCCTTTTTTACCCTCTTTTTATTTTTTTTTTCCTTTAAATTGTGCTCCCCTTTACAGTCATAAAGTGCTTTGCTTGGGACCCACAGGACCAAAAATGATACTCAGTAACTGCAGTAACTACCTTAGGGAGGTTCTTAGGGCATCTTCCATCTCTTCTAATTCATCAAAGTCTACTTTTATTTGACTCTTTTAATTTGAATTCTTATCTTCATTATTATTTATCTGAATGACACTTGAACATTAGAAAAAAAGTGATCTTTAATGGGCAAATATCAGACATTTTGGATTGATAGTTTTTCTTTTATTGGTAATGTCATAACATAAAACACTATAGAAAATGGAGGTTTGTACTTACACGAGTTTACATGACTAAAGAGATGAACAAAAATCTCTATCTATTATCTTTTCTGTCATCATATCCACAGCAATAAGACAATTTTCTCCTCTGTAATTGGTCCTCAGTTTTAGCGGTCTGCTTGATTCCCTGTAGGTTGTCTAGTTGGTCCCAAACACCTTTCAGCCACCTCTGGCACATCCCAACRGACAATTTCCTCTATGTGACTGGTGCAAAATGTCAGCTAATGTTTTGAGAAAAACAGAGTTTGGTTGCAGAGATGCAAACCAGCCTTTGGGGAAGATGTAATTTAGGACTGGTGAGTTCTCTACTCTCTCTTGCTTCTCCAATAATAATATACCATATAGTCTGCCTTGTTCTATGTGAGGTTGCACAAGGTGACTGTCCCTGCCATAGCACCTTCTGCCATTACAGACCTTCATTCCTGCCTCTCCTTTTAGAATTACTTTCTTACAGAATTGAATTACAATCTGCAAGAAGGCTTAAGAGCCTCATATAATTATCGAATATAAACTCACACTTCTGGCTCCAGGAGACACAGCTTATTTGAGAATAAAAGCTCAAATACATAGATTATCCAGTTAATCACATTCTAACATCTTCTAGGGTTTCATTGAATCTCTTGTTATTATTGAAAAGTACAATCACCCATTAGCAATGGGTACACCACTGCCAACACAGTTAATTTCCTAAATTTGAAACTATTTTTAATTGAGTTATAATCATGGTTTCCCAAACATTTTTCTCCCCCTTGTGAAAATCCATGAATATGCATGAAGCAGAAGCAGGAGAGAACAGCTGCACAATCACTAAGTTTTCAAGTAGAGGAAAGGTCACTCCGCAAGCATTTCTTTGTTTAGTAAATTTAATTTTTTCAAACTACAAATTTGCTTCCAACTCCCATGCTTCTAACCATGCAGTGCGACAATCCAAGCAGCGCTATTCATCTGCTGCTGCATTTTCAGATTGGCAAGAATCAYGGAAGGAAAAAATGAATTAAAAAAAAGAAAAACAAAAAACATTTTGTATCCAAGCAATGTAGGGTAGGCAACCATAGGAAACTGAGTGGCACTTTGCATGAGTAAAGGTGTCCAGCCTGTTCCCAACACGAGCCCACTGTCAGAAGAATGGATATTAAAATAAGGAASAGCAGCAGAGTCCAGGCAAGAGAGCCCAGAAAAAGCTAAAACTACTATTGCTCTTACTGCTTGTGCCACAATAAAGGCTGAGCTTAATGTACATGTCCAAAACAATCCGAAGGCACCATTGCTTCCCAAAGGCACAAACGTCTGGGATCACTTGTCGCAATGTATTCCAGCTGCTGCACAGCAACCCCCAAATCACTGACCCTTAGGCTATGCTGGCCTCAAAAGCCCCATAGGAAGGTCAGTTTTAAAAAYAGGAGGTTTATTAAACAACTCATCCAAAATCTGAAGTGCTCTGGGCTGGAAGACAGYGGACAAGGGGAATACCAGGAATCTTTCAGGATATATTCGCCTGCTTTCTGTCCCCTCTGTTCTAGACAGAGGAGCAAGAGAACTGCAGCAGAAGGCTGGAGTTACTCTAAGATGACTCAGCAGCAAGGCTTATCAAATTGGGTTTATATTGATTTCCTGGGGGCTTTGGAGGTAAAGGAGCTAAATCATGTGCAGGAAGGGAAAGACAGTCACAACAGTTTTAAAACCAGACCCAGTCTTCCAGGCTTCCCATGTTTAAGTCTTCAGTTTGGCACCATTGCTGCACTTTCCCACATGAGCTTCAGACATGTTAAAAGACTTCCTACCTTCACACCACCATCATCATCCAAATCCCTTGGTTACAGGCAGGGGTGTTTACCTATAATATTTTGCAGTAGTTCCTACATAGGTTAAACAATTCTGCCTTTCCCCCTTGGCTCCGCAGTGCTACACTATTAGTGTGAGTCAAGTTTTAATAATCAGCATTTCATTAAAGACCTAAATAAATAAATAAAWAAAGCTTAACAACTTACAGAATCTTTGCTGATTAAGGATTTTGAGATAGCCTCAAGCAGTTGTTAACCGAGCTCTGTCTCCCACCTGTTTGCTTCCTCCCYTACTCTCTATTCCCCTTTAACCTTCTCAGCAGGTTTTCACTTTTTAAAGGGTTGTACAAATATACTCCTGGCTATTCTTAGTGAAGAATAACCTGAATATTTTTCAAGATCTCATCCTTCTACTGGTGCTGAAAAAGAACTCCAATTCCCACACCACRTCCCTGCAAACCCCAGGCTGTGCCTTCCTGCTTGTTTGGCCTGTATTTAGTTACACTTGACCATTTTCTTTTCCTGTAACGTTAGGCAGACCTCCAGACCTCAGTCCTGGTGAGACAACACATGGACTACTTACTGGGTTCCCCAATACAAGATAGTCATGGACATGCTGCATTGAGTCAAGCAAAAGGACACGAAAGTGATGAAAGGACTGGAGCATCTTTCACACGAGGAGGGAGGTGGGGCTGCTCAGCCTGGAGAAGAGAAGGCTCAGGGGAATATTGGCAATGGGTGTAAAGACCTGACTGGGTAAAGTAAAGACAACGTAGCCAGACTCTTCTCAGTGATGCCTACTGAAAGGACAAGAGGTGAGCGGGGAAGAGTCATTAAAGAACAACAACAAACAACAAAACAACAAGTCTTCTTTACTGTGAGGGTCATCAAGCACTTGGACAGGTTGCCCAGGGAGGCTGTGGAATCTGCATCCTTAGAAATAACCAAAACTCAACTGGAGGCAGTTCTGAGCAGCCTGCTCTAGTCAACACAGGAGTGTTAAACACAGGAGTGGTCTGAACCTTCAGAAGTTCCTCTCAACACCAACAGTTTGGAGAAAATGGGACACTAATAACACCTCGCTTCTGATAC